ATTTCTAAGACAGCCAAGGCTACACAGAGAAACTCTGTTTCGAAGAGGAAAAAAAGGAATTAATTTTTAATTAATGGAACATTCAAAGCCTGTATGGTAAAAATTTGGAACTTTTGTTTTTCTTTGGCACAGTGGCTGCACCTTAACCTACTGCTATTTCAGCCAGCAATTGTGACTCTGCAGTTACCAGTCTGCTTCTTGGCAGTGATCTGGTAGGAATTCCTTTCTCATAGGCACTGGCTTTGCCACTGCCACTAAAGGTAGCTTTAACTAAATCTCTGTTGTTGTATTTATAAATAAAACTCAAGACTCAAAGGCTGGGGTGAAAACCTGCTAGCTCAGAGAGACTGAGTAGCAACTAGCAAATCTTCTCTCCTTGCTGGTGTCTCCCCAAAAGCACACCCTGCTCCTCCACTAAAACAAACAAACAAACAAATGCCCTCAAAATCCCTCCCTACTATTTCCGGTGTGTCTCTTTATCTCTTCCAGACGCCCACTAATGCTCTATTATTATTTTTTTGTCAGCTAGTTGCTAACTCAGCCTCCTGACCCAAGGTTAATTTTATTTAATTAATTCAAATGCAAACTCGGGGTTCACAGTGTGATTAAATATTCCCCAACAATAACTCCTTTACAAACCACCAAAGATGAGTGGGTAAATTCAGGGAGCATATTTATGTATAAGAAAATATCTCAAGGATGTCCATTTCTTTCTTAATTATAAGACAATGGCAGTTTCATTCAAAATTCTACCACAATATCTTGAGCAAGTTAACATATAATATAAAATGTATTGGAAGATTCATGAATAGCTAAGATAGTTTTGAAAAGATAGGAGAGGGTCCTTGTCCTAGAAAGCAGGCAATACACCATATATATTAAGGCAAAGAGGTAAGATATCACAAAGCCAGAGTACTGAGACTATTGTAATATTATATAATGAAGGAGTCATCAATAGAGTAGGGAAGGGATGGATTACTAAGCAGATCCATTACTAAGATGGATTACTAAGTAGGAGGGCTTCTACTAGTGAAATGTGAAAACTGGCTTAATAGATTTGAAGAAAAGTATAGCTGGGTTCATACCTCTTATGATATGCAGATTACACCTAAATTCATCGTTTATTCAACAGAAACTTATTGAGTATCTACCATGTGTGGAAGACGTTTCTGGACACTGGATATGTGTCAGTGAAAAAAATGAAATCCTCTCAGTATTGTTAACCCCTGTAGGGTAAAAGGGCTAGCCAAAGAAACCCACCCTGGCTCTGAACCCAGAGCCAGTCAAAGAAACACTTTGGTCTTGAAACCGGGAGCCAAAGAAACACACTTTGGCCCTGGACCCAGAGCCAGTGAAAGAAACCCTCCCTGGCCCTGAAACTAAAGCCAAAAGGCTGAAAGGGGCAGTGAGAAAAAAAAAAGTTTGGCCCTGAAACCAGAGCCAAATTTGTCCCTGACCAACTGAACCTGAAACCAACCAATCCCTGGGCAGGAAAACTAGCCAATCTGAGCTTGTCTGAGCTCAATGGAATGGAAATTTGACTAATTCCCTCCCTGAAAATCTCCCTGGAAAAACTCCACCCTTAAGAAGCCCTATGTAAGCCCCCCTGCCTATTCAGTTATCAGTTGTCCTTCTCCACCCTGGCAGAGGTAGCCATTCTCCTGGATTCCTCCTTCCCAAATATCTTCCTTTAAAAAAAATATTTGGGGTGTGTGTGTGTGTGTGTGTGTGTGTGTGTGTGTGTGTGTGTGTGTGTGTGTGTGTGTCTGCGCGCACGCGCCATGTGGGTGCAGGAACCCACAGAGGTCAGAAGAGGGCATTAGGACCCCTGGAACTGGAGTTACAGATGGTTGTGAGCCCCCATGTGGGTCCTGAAGATCAAACCCAGGTCCTCTACAAGATCAGCAAGTGTTCCTAAATCCTGAGCCACCTCTCCAACCTCTCCAGCTCTTTCCTAAAATAGTTTCGGGTGAAGATCTTCTCTCCTCCCAGGGAGGAGCACAGTCTCTGATGGGAAGCTCCCTTGGGAGTAGAGCAGGGCAGAAGAAGAAACGGATACTTCGGCTGGGAAGCTCCCTTAAGCGGAGCTGGGCAGAAGTAACAACTTTTCTCTGGAGCCAGAGCAGATTGCTACATTTCTGCAGGGCTTTCCCCTTTAGCAGAGTGAAGCAGAAGTAACATCTTGGGTGGGAGCTGAGAAGAACAGAGCAGCCCAAGAAACGGATACCTCTGCTGAGAAGCTCTCTTGAAGGGGCAGGGGCTGCAAGGCAGAGCTCAGGTGTAATGGCTCTCTTTCTGAGAGAAGCAGGATTGCTACATCCTGTGGGGAGACTATCCCCCACCATACCCAAGCTTCAGGTATAGCCTGACTTCCTGACAAGTCAGGATACCTTTGTCTTCACAGCTGTAGGTATCCAGGATACCTCCCTTCACAGCTGCAGGTATAGCCTGACTGCCAGACAAGTCAGGATACCTTTCACTCTGGAGCTGTAATACTTGCAGCCCCTAAATGTAAAGAGTAAAAGCAAATATATATATTTTAAAAAAAGTAGAAGAAAATGTAGCATCCGTTTTTTCATGACCTTGGAGTGGGGAAGGACTTCTTCCTAGACAAGAACCAGAAAAGCACAAAGCACATGGAAAAACAGCAACATGATAGGCTTCGTGACATAATGAATATGAGCGCACATTTTGATCCACTCATCTGGTCTAAAGAACTCCCCGCTGTTCCCTAGGACACTCGTGCAAGACTACCATAACCATGTTGTTTGTGGAAGCAGGAAGTTGGCACCAACTTTAATGCCTGCTTCTAGAGGAACAGGTGAGCAAAAGTGTGACAGACACACACTGTGGAACACGACCTGTCAGATGGAGGTGTACACTCCAAGCTGTGGAATAGAACCATACAATATTTCAGAAACCAAAGTAATAACAGAACTGAAGGGATACTGCCATACTGTGTACAGAAATACACAGTCAGGGCTGTGTATTTGACATCCACATTCAACACCTTCTATCAAAAGTATAGAAGTGGCTCCTGTGGAGGGAGGTGAGTGTTAGGGTAGAAATTAGGAATT